ACTCAGAAGTCACCGGAACAAATTTATTATTATGGGTGGGGGTCTGGAGGGGGCCCTTCTTCTGAGCTAAACAACAATCTGAAGCTCCCATGTTGAATAGTTTTTGAGTTATAAGCTTTTTTGAACGTCCAGATACCCCTTTTTCAAATAGAGCCCCCTCCTGAAATATGGTAGCCTGGTAAAAACCAGACCCTTGTCCTTCACTTTGCTTCGTACGAGGGTCTGGACTCGTGGTCACAGAGAAGCGATTCTTGCTGGAGGTGTGGCCTCTGCTGAAGTGTGTGTAAATGTCGCTGTGAAGGAGGCTAAGCTAAGAAGCTAACCAGAAATTGTGTGCTGTAAACAACCCTACTGAGAGGAGAAAAGAACAGAGCCGAACGAGACGACTGTAAATAAGAGCTGCTGCTTTGTCAGACAAATTGAATTTAATTTGGAAGCCTTATCAACACAGACTGGCTTCATTCACTTCCTCCACTGCCATTGCTAAAGTAACTAACAGACACTGCGCAGAAAATCGTTGTTCAGAACTCCTCCTTCTGTTTGCTGATTGGCCCAGGTGAAATGAACTACAAACAGACACTGCGCAGAAAATCGACGTTCTGTTCTTTGATTGGTTCGGCTAAAAATCTGCCAGCAAAAGCCTTGTCTATGGGAGGAATCCCAGACGGAGCAGAGAAGGGGAAATAGAATTGAGCGGAACTGCGTAGGAAGGCAAGGGCCAGGCTACAGCTGTAGTAGCTTGCAAGTCAAATATCTGACTAGCCTTGCTAGGTGATACAAAAAAGGCAGGATGTTGATGTTATTTAGTCTACACTGCAAAAATTAGCCATTAAAACTAAGTTAAACAATACTAGATTATAGTTTGAATCTTCTCAAATTAGGTGAAATAATCTACTAAGACAATTGAACTTGCTGATGGCTGTATTTTTGTACTATTGAGGCACAGCCTGCAGCAGCATCCTCATGCAGTCTAGAGTTGTTCCATGTTGAGCAATGTGATGAGGTCACATGAGAGAATGTCAGGGAGGCTAAAAATAGTATWGAAATAAACAGTACTTATGAATAACAGAATTTTCCTCACACTGAAGGTTTGGTTAAGTCATATGGGGTCTGGGGTGGGGGGTCATCATGTTGAGTGAAGGGGACTCAAAAATGAAGGCAATAAGATAGAGCCACTATTCTTCTAACTAACCTGCAGAAGAGCCCACATCGACTTTGATCTTTTTAATTTCAGTTTTCTTACTTGTATTCTATATATTTACATTACATTACTTTGCTCTGAATCACACATAGAAGCAGAAGAATAAATATGCATTATTGAACCTCCACTTGTAATTTGGGGGTTAGAAATGTATACATGGTCAGTCTATGGTTCATGTCACACAAAGACTGCCCTGTAAAAGACATGTTTTAGCCACGGACTTGCACAAACTTACAAACCATTTAATATAAAAAAAACTTTGCTATTGATGACATACTTTTTCATCTTATTTACCAAGTTTCATTAAAATAGCATCAAAACTACAGAGGTAATACTTAACGCAGTTTTTGTTCAACAATTTTTTTCTTTTTTTTTAATGATTGATAAAGATAACTCTGCTCTCACATGAAGTCACACAGATTGTGTGTTTTTTTTAGGACAACTTGAAAAAGATAACTTTTTTTTTTCCGCATCGGTTATAAGATATGCTATTTTAAAATAAAAGAAAACTTTCTGTGTTCATCAGACTCATAAAGTTTATATTAGTTACCCCCCTCGGTTTGTCAGCTTCTGGAAGACCGCCTATTAAGGTTTACATGTGTAACACAAGAAAATATGAATATCTTCTTTGAAAGCATCTATATTTATCTTGTTTCAAGAGTACAAGAGGTCACGCCATGAGATCAAGAAGAAGTCATCTGACACCATGAAACTGCAGAAGAAAGCTCGYAAAGGTAACAGTCAGCTGAGTATGTCTGTGTCACTAACGTTTTGGAGCTGCAGATACATGTGGAAACTTGTTGTGTTCCAGTTTTTATTTATCACTCATATTTTGCAGTCATAGGAAAAAAAACAAAAAAAACATGCCAGAATGGAGTCACCTTCGTGATTACACTTAGATCCAACAAACACAAGCAAAAACCTGAGCTCAGAAAGTGACTTCAGCGTTCTGGACAAAACTACCTATAAGGTTACACTGCCATCTAGTGGCAATCTGTAAYGGTGCAGCTCTATTTGTTCTGAATCTTTTTGCAGCAACCAGTTAAACTAGTTTGATTCAGAAACAGCTTCAACTCAGTTGCCAGGCAGATTAATGCATTAAATGTTTGTAAAAAAGGTTTTTGTTTTCAGCAAACCTTCTCAGTTCTGCTCTGTCTTTTTAAACAGCTTTAAGTGATATTTCTAAAGGGTTAAAMAAGCTTCCACATGTAAAAGGGATGCATAGTTAGTCATCAAGTGTAGGATTAGACAACATTGTTTTAATCTCAATGTTAAAAAGAATACAAACACAACTATAGGTATGATTTTCTATTGTTGGACCAGAAGGTTTGATGTGGAAAGATGAATTATAAACATTTCAACATCACAACTGGAGACTTTGACAAGTTAGACAACTATATATCTGCAGTGTGCATTATGGATATTTATTATTTTCTCTGTAAAAACATTGAAAAAAATCCTCCTCAGAATAAGGTCACTTTAAGTGAGTGAAATTTAATAACTCATTTTAGAATATATATTTTTTTTATATAACTAGTATTACTTTGTAGAAATTGTAGTTTGTTTTTGTCTAAAGTATGTCAAAGAAAAAAGTATAATTCAAAATGTTTAAAATTATATTTACATTTTTTACTACGCAATTTTGCTTTACATTGGTCTGTTTTTAGGTCTGCAATAATGGTTATTTTTTTAAATAAAGCAATACAAGACATAAGCAGAGAAAATAATAATAATGCCTGAAATAACTATACTACAGATAGTTAAAGGTAAACGTGACAGCTGAAAAGTCTGATGTTTGTTGACTGTATATATGATTCAGGCCTGTCACATGTGGAGCTTGGTGATATTGGTGTTCCTCGGTTGCTTCAATGTTATTTTGCCTTAACCTTCGGCACTGTGGCTGTCTTGTGATGGCTTTCTTGTACTAACTTTAACAATGTGTTTCTGCTGTTTTATGCTCACCCTCTTCTTCTCTGTCTCCCTTGTCCTGTTTTTTTCTCCTGTTTGGCTTCTGTTTTTGCTGTCTCCCGCTCTCGCCACCGTCTCTTTGTCTCTCCCTCCCTGTGGCGTTTGTCTCGCTTTAACAGAGATGCAGGGTAAGTATCAACCTGTTGCTCTGCCACATATCCTCATCTCCTCCGCTCACTTGCAGAGTTTGTTACCAGACTTTGGGCTGCATTTTGAGGGTGTAGAGGAAATAGTTGAAACAAGACTTCAGGGAGAAAAAAAAAAGATCTTCACAGGAATGGAAAAAGCCACAATACATGCCTTAAAAGTTTTTGCTTGGGTATATTCCCCAACTTTCACTGTGTCAATTGCATTAGTC